AAAACAGATGGATAGTGATGCCATTGACTTGAAGAGTAAACCTAGTTCTGAGCGAGTGTAAATTCAAACATACAGAGCTTGAGATTTTTATGGCTAATCGAAATGGGAATGTCTTCTTGTCAATTATAATTGTATTTCTGGGACGGAACTGATATGTCCTTGCTGGAAAAGATTTGACTGTTAATCAGTGGACAGAGAGCAGCTGAAGCCACGGGAATAAGTGTCACCCACTGACATTTTATCAAAGAAAAGGGAAGGAGGGCACTTCTGGTTCAGAAAATATGGCAGACCGGCAACTTGAAGACCCACTAACTGAAGACACATAAAAACGTAGGACACAATGCCGCCCATCTTTTCTTTTTCACAGGCACCTTTATTGTGGTATGATTCCTGAACTGCAAGTTACACATATTTCACATGTAGTATTTGATGAATCTGATAGATGTCTACACCCAGAAAACCATCACCACAATCAAGATAGCTAGCATTTCCATCACTCCCCAAGAGGGACACTTTTCAAATTCCCATATTTATCCCTTCCCACCCACTTCTTTCCTGGTAACCATAAGTTTGTTTCCCTCTCTGCAGGTCTGTTTCTCTTTTGTAGACAAGTTCATTTGTGTGTTTTGTTTTGTTTTGTTTTAGATTCCACATGTAAGTGTTATTTTATGGCATTTTTCTCTTTTTCTGGCTTACTTCACTTAGAATGAGTACCTCCAAGTCCATCCATGTTGCTGAAAATGGCATTTTGTTCTTTTAATGGCTGAGTAGTATTCCAGTGTATAAATATACCACTACTTCTTTATCCAGTCACCTGTCCATGGACATTTGGGTTGTTTCCATGTCCTGGCTATTATAAATAGTGCTGCTATGAACATTGAAGTGCATGTGACTTTTCAAATTAGAGTTTTCTCCTGACACATGCCCAGGAGTGGGAAGGCTGGATCATAAGGTAAGTCCATTTTTAGTTTTTTAAGGAACCTCCACACTGTGTTCTCTAGTGACAATGCAGACAGTTTTATTAAAGCAGACCCATGCTCAGAATGTAATGGGTATTTCTAGGGGCCAGACATGAAGTGCAGTGAGCTTGGCCTGTTCAAGAATCAGAATGGCAGTCTGCCAGGGCTGGAGGAGAGTGATATGGGGGAGTGTGGCACAGGCAGGATTCAGACCACATGGGGACCTGCCAGGCTGGGATAAGGAGCCTGGACTTCCAATCCCTCGGTAACCATGGGGTACTGGTTCCAGGACTCCCCCCAGTTGCCAAAATCCACGGATGCTGACGCCTCTTGTATAAAGTGGCAGAGGACTTGCATGGAACTTACATGCATCCTCCCGTATCCTTCAAATCATCTCTAGATTACTCATGGTATCTGATGCAACGTGAATGCTATGTAAGTAGTTGCTGACATGTGGCAAATTCAAGTGTTGCTCTGTGGACCTTTCTGCTTTTTCCCAAATACTTTCAATCCACAGTTGGTTGAATCTGCTGGATGGGAGCCCCTAGATATGGACAGCAGACTGTACTCTCAGTCGAATCTAAAACAGACTACGCAAAGAAAAGCAAACCAAGCCCAAATCAGCTGTTTTAATTAATAGAAGTTAGAGCACTGGTTCAGTGACACGAGGCTAAGAGCTGGCTGTTAAAGCTAACAGCGTTCATCTAGAGGAACACATTCTGGAGCGATCTACCCCTCAGGTCTGAGCTTCTCAGTTTCTTCATTTGCTTCCTTAAGCTGAACTGCATCATTACCCAGAAGCTCCTGATTTTCAGCACACTGCTGTAACCTTTCCTACAGGTAACTCATTTCTTATGTGTTTCTTCTAAAAGTTTTATTTTATGTAATTTTTCACCTCTAAGATAAAGTAACTCAATAACCCAAATTTTTCAAAATATAGAAATAAATTAATTAAAATATTTCACATGAAAACCAATGCCTATCTAATGAAAGCATTATGAAAAAATAAGAGGCAAAAAAACCCAAAACAAAACAAAACAATGGATGTAGCATGGTTGTGTCCAGTCTAGTGTGTTAGTAAAAGAAGGCTGTGTTCACAGTCCCAATTCTCAAAGCATGTATGATTTTATTTAATACAACAAACACATGATGGGAGTGATGATTCTTATTCTATTTTACAGACAAGGAAAGTACATTTCTTACAAACAGGTTAGTGGATTTTATTTGTACATATCTTACACTGAAGATCATAAAATCACAGAGAAAAGATACTTCCTTTGGCAAACAAGGGCTCCGCTGACCTACCTTTCTGGCCCTGTGCCCTGGCCCAGGACAGGTGCGCTCAGTGACACGCCCATGAGACAGCTGTGTGGCCTCCCGCCTCCCCTCCTGAGGCCCTCCACCTGCCAGGGCCCAGCTCAAATGCTTCTCCTCCCTGAAACCCTTACTAGCACCCTCCTGTTTATTTCTAATTTTTTTAATATTAAACTTTTCTGCATTCTTATCTAACTCCTCCTTTGTTTTCCCCAGTGGGGAATGCCATATTCACTTCTGTGTCTTCTACAAAGACAGCATGTTGTTGTCTGTTCATTTGTCAAACACTTGAGAGCTTACATTTCAGGCCCAGGGATAAAAAGGGAGACCAGGCCCTGGAAGGTTGCCGTCTGGCTGGGAGGACTGCAAACAACTGTGCACACAGTGCCATGAATTCAAAATAATCTTTGAGTTTCCTCAATCTTGCAATTATTGCTACAAAAACCAATCAAACGCAAATACCTCAACTAATTTTTAAAAGTTTTTTCTAAAATTACAATATACTTCTAGGAATAGTATTTTGCTTTTATCATCCAATTGCTATTACTTACACTCAAGTTCAGAACAGTTATGAGCATAAAGTAACCATCCCAGCTTGGTGTGCTCCTGGTGGTGCACGCACCTGCTCTCTGGCTTGGTCTCTGTCTTCATTTTTCCCTGCTTCAAGAGCTTGCTTGTCTTGCTTCAGTCTTTTGAGGTCTTCCAATAAACTGGTTTTCTCTTTCTTGATATTCCTAGAAATACAAAAGCTAATTATTCCTAACCACGACAGATTGTGGTACAGGCTGTCTTTCACCCAAACCATCCTAAGTTCTGCTGCTGATTATCTTTCCTATATTTCAGCTCTGATTTTACCCCACCCCTTCCAAAGGGTGACAGGCTTCCCAGAGCTTCCCAGAGCCCACCGGAGCCAGCTCTGAGCATGTGCCCAGCACAGCCGCAGGGCCTTCCCCACCGCCACTCTCACTGCTCCTGGATGACGACGACCCCCTAACTAGCCTGCCTCTCCCCTCCCGGCACCTGCGGTCTGTCCTCCACACAGGAAGAGGTGAATTGTTTTGAAGAGTCCATTAATATCACTCTTCCATCTGAAACTCTAGTGGCTCCCCTCTCTCTTAGGGTAAAACCTTCAGTGTCGCACAACCCAGTGTTGACCACTCCTCTGACACATGTTCCACAAATCTTCTCCCTCCTGCTCTTGTGGCTGCAGAGACCTCCTGTCTGCCCTGAGAACACACCCAGCACACTCCTACCCCAGGTTGCTTGCACTGACTGCTTCCCCTGCCTGCAGCTCTGCCCCCCGGAGCCGGGTGTCTCACTCCCACACTGGCTCAGGACTTCTGTTCAGGTGTGGCCCCAGGAAGGCCTTCCCCAATCCCTCTTTCTAAAATGGCAACCAGGTGTGCTGCTTTATTTTCTGCCCTAAACACTCATTGGAACCTGACACAGTATATATTTACTAGAAAGCAGAACTTAATTTTGCTCGCCCTTGTGTGACAAATGCAGAAAAAAAAAATGCTTGGCCCAACATTCCACACAATTCTCAATACACTCATTCCTCTTCTTCACAGAGTTACACTTATCCTTCAAGACTGAGTTCAAGTGCGGCTCTTCCTGATAACCTTTCCCCACATCCCCATGAAACTCCCATGTCCCTCCACCACAGAGCTCAGGGATTTGTTTCCCATGACCCTGACCTGGGTGCAGGCATTTTCTCTTTAACAAGCTGCAAGCTCTGTGGGGACCAACACTGACATCACCATTTGGTTACCTGATGGCACTAATCAGAGGGCAGGTGCTCAGTAAATGAACATGGGACTCAACTCAGAACTGCTGAAGGAATTCTTGGATTCATGGCAGGACACTTGGTACAGTTCAGTTTCAAAATAAAAACTGTAAGAAGTTTTGTATCACACTACCTTAAAACCCAGCCTTACCAAGAAAATAAATCCATCCATAAAGCCCTGTATTATCATGGGTTTTGGCTGCATCATGTCATTGTTGTATCTTCTGTGTGACCTTCTGTGGATGTCATTTCAGGAGAGTTACTGAGTTTCTTAAGGATTTTACTGTGGAGACATACTCAGGGGCCTCTGGCCACCTCTCTGACCTTATCGTCCACCACTCTGGACCTTATTCCCTTCAATACAAAATATTCAGTTCTTAAAAATTAAAAACTATTGCACAGTGGAACTCTGTGTCACTGAAGATAAAAACTTTATTTTCTCTAAAGAGTAAAATACTAAATGAGGAGTATACTTTAAGGGGAATGTTTATGTGGAATCTAAAAGAACAGAAACCATAAGGGTATTGGTTTATTAGGAATATTAAAATACTTCCTGCCAATTCTCAGAGAAAAAACAAATCATTGTCCCAGAAAGACTTGCTGCATTTTCCTGAGGGGTCTGTGCCCCCTGTCATGTCATTCTAGACTCCCTTCTGAGAAACACACATTGCCAGTCATACACCCGGAAACTAATCAACCAACCAAATACAGTCTACTACCTGAACCTTAGAATCAATTCTTCTGTTTTTCCAGAGACATTATAAAAGGAGTTTAGGACTCCATATGATCATCTAACCCCAATGTACTAAAGAAATCATTTATTTCATTGTGAAAATTATTTAGAGTTCCAGTTTTGGACCCTGGAATAGACCTTCTCTTTAAAAAATCAGGCAATATAAGATGTGAAATTTGAAGCACTTCACTGAAACATTTGGAGAGAAAGCAGATGTAAAACTTCATGCATCAGAACTGGGCAGATCATTAGCTTTGGCCTGGGGAAAGGAGATTTCCCCTCTCCTAATTTATACAAAAGAGTCCTCACTTGCCAACCTGTGTAATTTCTAGCTTTGTCTATACAATGTTTGTCTTTTTGTTTTGCATGATAGATTAGTGTGAGCTACCAGCAGCCCTGCCTCTTATGCCCTAAGTTATCTTACAAAAAAAATGGAAGAAGCATGTGAATATGTGTAACATACATGACATTCACAGCCAAAGAAGTTTCTCTGACAGCAGTCTTATTTGAATGTCTAGGTGAAATGATCAATCACTTCCTAAAAGAAGACAGGACCCTAGCTTGCCCACGGTTGTCAGTCCAGTTCCTTCACTTAACATGTTAAATAAAGGTGGGTGTAGTAACATCCAGAGCCCTTACAGTGTGGAGCATGATTCCTAAGTAGGTTCTGGTGCTCCACCAGCCCGCCACAGTGAGTGCTGGTTCTCACCACTCACAGGCTCCCCTTCTCTGGAGAAATGCCCTTGCCAAATGGCAGCCCCTGGCCCTGGCCCAAGGGATACCCCAACCTACTTCCTGGGGTGCACTTCAGCCAGGGACTGAATGGCTGAGGGGTGCAAATGGCTTTCCCCCACTTGCCTTAGTTTGGGACCAACTATGGGGTGCAGTCTGTTCTCCTGAGCTTCCTGGTGAGAGAAGAATGACACCAGAATGGGACCATGGTCTCACTCATCCTCCCTCCCCCTGCCCACCTCCACCTTGTTTCTCTCACTCCCCTTCTCCTGAGAGTTACCCTCCAGGAAATCACCTCCATAAGGACCCCCAGCTCAGGCTCTACTTGTTCAGAACCTGACCTAAGACAGTAAATGATACTGTATATTTATTTTACTATTATTACTAACAGTATCATTACTGAGATGCATTACATAAGTGTCCCAGGATTAATGATTGATCAAGAGAGCTGTTCAACTTCCTAAAACTGATGTCAAGTTCAAATATGAATATGCTGAATATACTGAAGAGTGTACTAATCATCTAACGCCAAAAGAAAATCCATTGAAAACTAAAAATATGAAAGTTACAAAACTGAAAATCAGTTTTTTTTAAATTTCTAGGTATAACTAAACATATTATTAATACAACAATAGAATGCTTAGAAAGAATTGATTTGATTTTAAGAATTTAAAAAGGACTTACTTTAAGGAAACTAATTTGCTGAATAGGCTCTGGTTTTCCGTGAACATTCACTCATTTTTATTTTGTTCTTGGAGATCTTTCACTTGATTAAAGAATATTTCATTTTCCTTTTTATAAATAGAAAGTTACATTTTAGTTAAGTTACATTGTAGTTAAGTCAGCAGGACCTATATAACATTAGCATATGTGCTCATGAAAGATACATCCTGTATTTTTAGTCTTTAAATATCTTCAGTTTTTGAGAAAGCTTTAAAATCTTTTTCAAACTGTTTCAATTTTCTCAAAGACAATTGGCTAGCTGAAAACAATTCTTTCCAAAATGCTCAAAACACTTAGTAAACAAAAAAGTTGCAGAACGTCCCAAAGCCAACAAGCCTGTCAGTATAATGTACCACATTTCACAGGGTAAGTGGGTGAGAGACTGCAGGAAAAACCACATCCTGATTTTGCACACCAGGGATGGAAAGGCCATGGGGGCTGTCTGTGTGATAGAAAAAAACAAACCCAACTGCATATTAGATCTGTTCCTTTGGCTTTAACCCTGTGCTCTGTTTTCTAGGCTCAGTCTTGCTAGCTGTGCACTTTTTGTGAAACAATGTTGCCTTTAGCCTGAAATGTACAGTAGAGTCTATTCTCAAGGCTCTGGCTTTTAAGGATATTAATACATATCCATTCATATAAAGATAACAAGTTGCAGAATATAAAATAACATTTATTTTGCTGGAGGTTTACAGGGGCACCATGATCTGACCTATGTGGACAGCTGCAAGAACACAGGATTCCAAGAACAAAGAATTCCTATGCCAAGAAGTTTGCAACAACCAAGCAAGTAGGAAAGGAGCCTGAATTCTGACTTGGGGAAGATGGTTCTCCAGGACCTTAGTCTGCTATCTTCTTGGTCTGCTGGCTTTCTGAATGGCTTTCAAAATAAACTAGCTACTCTTTGCCCCAAGAAACTGTCTCCTAATTTGCTGGCCTGTTGTGCAGTGAGCAGAATGAGTTTGGACTTGGTGACATTTGCATCTTCTTTTTTTCTGTTTTTGGCCCATATTTCTGTGGTGAGGAAACTGGATGGAGCCACAGTGGGTAACCAGGCTTGTTTCTGGAACTCCCTGTAAGCAAGGAGGTAGAGACTAGGAGTTTCTGGAAGATCAGGATGAGGCAGAGCAAAGCCTAGACCCAGCTCAGCACCTGGCTTGAGCTAAAGAGGGATTCAAACAGTGAGATCAGTGGCAATCTGTGCTTAGATGCTCTGGCTTATTAACCTCTTTAAAATTAAGAACCTGATGAAAACCAAGGACCTTTGAAAATCTAAAGAAACTCTGAAATGTCTCACCACACCTGGCCTAATACCTGGCAGATAGTCTGCGCTTAATTATCTGCAGAATTCTTGAAACTCAGAAAACTATGTACGTATGTTAACATACAAGTCTTGCATTCTGTATGTGTGTGAGATAGGGGTGGCTGGCATACTTACGGGTCTGTTCCTTAAAGTGCACCCTCCATGCAGCAAGTGCAGAACAGTAGGCAGAGGATTTGGATGACTCTCACTAACTCTAGGGCTGTGTGTCCTGCAAGATCAGTGCCATCTCATTTGCAGTAAATGCTGTCATCTCTATTGCAGTAACAGCTACTCTGGATGTCCCTGGAGTGAAAATGCTTCTTATTGGCATGCTCAAGGCTTAGACTACTACTGTCAAAGGAGAAAATGGTAGTGAGATGGAAAGGGAAGGGAATTAAAAAAGAAGGGGGAGTGGTGGGGAGGAAATGAAGGTGAGGTCTCATGCTGGAGATCACCAAACCTGTCCTGCCTGCCTGTCAGGTCAGTGTCACCAAGATGCCATCACACAGAACAAATGTCTTACTTCTACAGGACACATACATGTTTTCTCCCACTTTTAAGTCAAATTGTTTTCAATCTCAGGGCACTGGTAATTGATTTCAGATTCATATTTCTGAATACAGTATCACAGCTAGCCAATATTAAGAACTGAAAAACATTACAGAAAATGAAAGAAAAATAGGACAGTTTCTAAGGAAACATGGCTATAAAATTAGTAACAGGCAACACACATTAACTGGTTACTGTGTGGCTGGCACTCAGGTTGGTCTGCACTGTCTTTTTTTTATGATTTAAATATATATATTTCCTAATGTGGCTTTAATGTCACACAAGTGGCTTTTAAGTGTAAAGCAAGAGAAAACAGGGGTAGCCAAGAAAAGCCCACCCAGGCCTCTGTTCTCCGAGCCTGTGGAAGGCCCAGCCAGGCCAGCTGATCCCTGACCAGTGGGTATAGCAGCAGCTGAGACAAAGGCCCCGTGACCCTCAGGGAGATCCAGGGCATAGGCTCTGCACCCTCAGAAACCTAGTTTCCATGGGGGTGTGGGCCCCTCTGGGCCCCTGGCTCACTACACCAGTGAAAACCCCCTTAATCCGCATTCTTTCAACTCTGACTAGGGAAGGGTGGCTCCCCTGGCAGGCAGGCCAGGGGCAGAATCAGCCTGCCTTTGCTGCAGGGCTCTGAGAGACAGGCATTGTCTTATCTTAATTTCACAACCATTCTTATGAGACAGGTACTGTCAGTCTCATTCCCATTTCACAGACGGGAAAACTGGCTCAGAGGGGGGATGTGATTTGCCTAAGGCTGCACAGCAGGTAGTGAAGCAAAGCCTAAAGCCAGATTTTTTGAATCCAGAACCGATCCTCTTAACCACTTTCATTCTGCCCATGACAAATGTGCAGACCAGTCAACTGATTACTTCCTCATACTGTCAGAATTCCCGTGACCTGTTAAATGAACACAAATATTTTTAAATGCCTTATTTTTAAAACCAAAGGATCTCATAGCAAACTCATTATGTGCTTAAGAACCATACCTGTTGACATCCCTGGACAAGTGTCTCTTCCTATTTCTTTTCAGATTTGCTTCAATTTTTCTTCAGTGACAGGAGCCAATGTTTCCTCAAAATGCAACCACCTTTGATTTTTGTTTGATTCTTCAAAGCTTCTTCATTGAGAAAATGCAGAAATTGTTTTATTAGGAAAAGGAAATGATGAAGTGAGCAAGAATAAAAGAAAACACAAGGTGCAGAGACCTTAACTGGTCTTACAACAGAGACAGGAAGGGGGCAGGTCACAGCCAGTCAAGGAAGGCCACAGTAATTAACATCAAAATGGTGAAGGATTCAACACCCAATAGGCCTTGAGGCTCAGGATGAAGAGATTTAACTTCTAGCAGAGCTTGAGCTTCATTATACACCCATTGTAATAGTAACACGGTGAATAACATGCCCCAAGGCACCATGGCAGTCCCAAGGCTAGCCACAAAAGGTCACAGGGTGGGAAATGGCCAACTCCTTGGGAATCCCAGCCCCTTGCCCTTAGGCAGGTCCTTCTAATTATTAGCATATGAAGCCACCAAGCCCATGAAAACCAGCAACACAGCACCACCTCGTGGTCACCCCTCTCTCTCCCTCTTCGGAGAAGGCCCACACTCTGTCTGTGGAGTGTGTACCTACTTTTAATCTGAGCATCAAAACCCCACACCTCATGGTGTTTCTCTTGCCTTTCAATGTATCTCTCTGAATAAATCTACCTTCACTCAACTGTGGCTTGCTCTTGAATTCTTTCCTGCATGAAGCCAAGGAGCCATGCCTGGCCTGGTGGGGCACATCCCAGGGGCTCAACTGAAGCCTGGGACACAGCTCTGCTCATGCCCCACATCTGTTTTCCTGCATCACAACCACACTGGAATTAGCTTAACATCAGTGACAGTTGATTCATTACAGGATGTTTTGTGCTGATGGTTCTGACAATGGAATTAACTCAGAAATGCTACACAGTGTCATTCCCTGAACTTAGCCCTTCTATAGCAATCTTTCTGAAACTCTGTCTTCCTTGGAGGTCAACATGAACCAAGGGATTTATTTTCAAAAAGTACTGCTAACAAGAGAATGATCAAAATGAGCCAATTTAAATTCTGATTTTTCCCCCAGGGGTTTGACTGAGGTTCTTCAGTTAGGAGGCACTCTCGGGAACCAAGTTCATGTTTTCTGTGACAAATGCATCAAGCCAAAGAGCCATGGGGACAGTGGGATTTAGCAGGGCGTACAAGTTCATTTTTCATCAATAAAAGGAAAAACAGGACAATGTGTCTAGTACCTTGGCTCAAAGAATATAATTGTCTTGACTCAGTTTGAAGACTTCCTTTTCCTGCTGTCTTTGTAGTTCCTCTGTCTCATCTTCCAGCTCCTTTTTCTGAGAATGTGACTTTAATCTGCTCCCTAAGGGCCTATGCCCCTCTGCTTTTTCCCTCTGCTTCCTGAACTCTTTCAAACATAGTCAGTTCTGCTTCCTTGTTCCCACCACCATATCCTGAAGAATCCTTTTAAGAAAAGCATTACTTCAGTAAGTAGCATTATATATTAGATTTGAACCCAGGGGGTTAGGGAAATAAACCACAAAGAATGAAAATGACAAGGTTAATAATGTTCTACTACACAAGAAAAATCAATAAATGTTCAATAAGAGTGAGAGTGTAGTATCACCCAGTGCAAAAGAAATTTCACATATTTCATTATTTATAATTTAATTTCAACATAAAATTATAGACCATACAACCAACATGAATATTTCTGTGAAATTCAGCTCCTACATTTGGAACCTGAAAACAGGCATCAGTTTCTGTGGGGCCCCCAGACTTCTTGGGTAGCCATGCAGATTTCCCTGTGGGAAGATGGAGCTGCGGGCTTGGTGAGTCCTGCTCCAGATATTCCTAAATGTTATAAACGGTGGATAAAAGCACCACAAATACAAACTACATTGAATGTGTGTTCAGCAATTATATAACAAGAAGCACTAATACTACAGGAGCACTAAGACAAGTAAGGATCTCACAACAGGCTGGTGCATAACAAATGCCCTCACACAGCTGTCCCCCTGCATGCAGGACCCCTGCCTGGAACTGGCATCTACTCCATCTGCCGCGGAGGCCGACTGACCCAAGGCTCATGTCCAATGACACATGGAGCTAAATAAATGTGAGGAGAATGTGGATCAGGATAATTCAAAGTTCTATCACTTTAAATAAATTATTCTTTTAAATGTTCACAGCAATGACTAAAAGTATCTAAAAGAGGAATCAAAGAGCAGCTGATAACTTTATGAAGCATTTTAGTTCAGATTAAGTGGGCTTTAAAGCACATTTTTCTATATAAAGCATATCAAGGTATAGAATCACTGGAATAATTTAAATTGCATCGAAACTATAAGTACTAGTTTAAGTTTCATTAAAAAAAATGATAATCCTGCTCTAATACTGTGGCATCATACATTACATTAGGAAAAATGTTATTCATGTATATTTTGGTCAATTTTTTAGCTTTTAAGTTACCTCATATATCCCCAAACAGCAGAAATAGTTCTAAGGCCAATAATCATTCAGTTAATAATACAAAAACAAAGTTTCAGGGAACTCCCAAGAAGAGATCCCGAGGCCCATACTCAAACCCTGCAGGTCCTGAACTGACCCCCAGTGAACATTTCCCTGACTGCCTTCGAAGTAAGTGAAGAATTAAAATTTTATATTTTTAATATAATTTCTTTAGGATGTTAACTTTTTAAATGCAAAGTTTACTTTTATCATGAAATAAATGGTTCTTAAACATTTGGAAACTACAGAAAAGTCAAAAGAAGAAACAAGTCCTCAAAAGTACTTCACCCCAAGATTTCCTTTGAATCTTTTCCAGGTTTTCCTTATAGAGTAGTAATCATATTTAATTGGGCAGTTTGATGTAGAAGGTTTTCTGTAGAAACCTCTTAAAGCATTCATAAAGGATTTGTTTGAGTCATTGAAAACTCAGGCCATTAATTCCTCCAAGACACTGGAGGACCATTAACGTGGCCAGTGAAGGGGTCAGACCTGCCAGCATTGTGATTCTCCCCAGGATGGGGTACCTGGGAGTGTAGCAGGTGGTTCTTGCTCCAGTTGCAGTCAGCCAGTGTTTTTACACCACAATTCTCCCTTCCTGAGTTCTTCATTTTGACCTAAGTTGTTACATTCAGTAATAGTACATGGACAGTATCTTTTCCTTTTATCCAGGAAAGAAAAGTTGTTTAGATATAAAATTCAAACATGAAAACACTGCAGAATTTGGGACTTCTGAGCCCTTCTTAAAAAAACAATGGATTCAAAAATTCAGTCAAATTATAAGGCAATCAAAATAATTCCAGAATGGAGGAGCAATGGCTAATGGAATGGTGAAAAGCATTCTGGCTCTGTAACAACCAGAACCAAGATCCACTTTCAAATGCTTGAAGGAATTATAGTTGCTGGAGAGAATATAATAAATATATTGATTATAAATAATAGAGTCATATATAAATATATATAATATGGTATATAACACACGTATTATATATAGTATATAATATAAATTTATAAAAAATACACTTATTAAAAATAAAACCAACAAAAATGGTGGGAGTCACGTGAGTAGGGGATGTAAGAGGTTTACTATGTATTTAATAGAAAGGAAAATTGATAGTATATACAATTAGAAAATGCAGTTTAAAATAATACAGCTTTGGCAGTCTTTCAGGGGTTTTCATAATCCATGTTCTTGAAGGGACCTTTTGGGATGTAACATTTCTCAGGATGAAGTTCCTTTTTCTTCTTATAGATTTAAGTAAAATGAAACCTAATGTTTAATTTAAAAGAACTGACAAAGTGTGATTGGTTCTTATAAAATGCTTCATCCATTTTTATTTGTCCATGTGCCTGCCCTTCTCCTTCATTCCAGCTCTCATCCCCACTTCCTTCCATCTACAGAAGGACACACACACAAGAGGCATGGAATGAGGCTCACCCATTGTGACACCAGCTGTTTCTGGCTAGATTATTGCTTCCTTTTTACTTTTCTGTATTTTTGAATTTAAATAATGAGCAACTATTCCTTTTGTGACAATAAACATACTAATCTAAAAATAAAATCACATGTCAACAAAGAAAATTAATTTAGAATAAAAAGCAAAATCACCACATGGCAGACACTGCTACCTGACAACCTCCTCTTCCTCCCCACTAAAATTTTGCCCCGGGCAGCAATGTGCCAGTTAAAAACACCCCTCTTCCTGGACTCCATGCACCTAGGGTGGAGTGGGGGGGGCAGGGGCACAGGATCAAAGTTCTGACCAGTAAAATGAAAGCAAAAATTTCCAACACGGGGCTTCCAGGACAGCAGTTCTACTTCTCTGATTAAGCTGCTGTGTTAACGGGTGTGCACCTTTTACATTTCACCTCTCCTCCTCCTGACAGGGCTGGAGGTTGTGCAGCCATCTTGTGACAAGGAAGACTAAAGTCACAGACTAGGGGTTTTGCAGCAGGAAAGAAGGGGGGGGTCTGGTTCTTGTCACAGGTGCACCAGCTCTGAATTAATTGGCCCGGGCTCCCTGGTTACTTGAGAAAGAGAAGCCATTGAACTGCGTCAGCCCCAGCCACGAGGGGCTGCTCCCACGGAACCAGTGCTGATGCCAAGCACAGCCTCTAGACTTTCTGTACACGTGCCTCCAGCTCAGAGGCTGCTTCTCCGACACCCAGCCTGTCACAAGTAACAACCACCCCAAGGAATTCCAGTTCTTTGGAATAAAACTAAAATCACTCTGGGTAATTTTCCAACAAAAAGACAGATTTTTTTAAAAAAATTCTATTTAACAGAGACTCTAATGAGAAAAAGTAGATCAGTACAAAAACAGAAAATCATAGTTTGCCATCATACTTAAATATATATGAATTTTAGAGATGTGTTTTTATTTTGGCAGTCACAAACACTATGAAATTTTGAAATCAGGGAAAATGCTCATAAACATATTGTTGCCTTCACCTATCAACCTCTATGCCTTCCCTGTCATTTCCATTGACTGTGACCTGGCGTCTGGCTTCACTCTTAGTAATTTCCAACTGCGCACCACAGGCCCTTCAACTCCCTCCCTGTGTGCATCTCTCCGCCCCAGCTGCTCTCTCCCACGGGCTTTCCAGGTCTCTTTCTGTCACCAGTAATGCAATCATGCCTACATCTCAGTCTTAGGCATTTGCTCTCTGGCAGCCCTACCCCCCCCACCAGGCGTGCCCTCTGGCACCTGGATGCCCACAGCGCTCAGGCCCCCGGGACTCACTCTGTTGATCCTGCATGTCTCACACTGTCCACACCCCCAATGTGTCTTCTTCCTTCATGACTCCACTTACGTCCCAGACACATGGGCAGCTGCTTCCTGCTCCTCTCTCAGCCCACTGCACTCATTGGGCAAAAGCCAATCCTCTTAGTAAATCCAACTACACAACTACCAACAGCTGCAGTCGTGCAGGAGAAAGTGGCTGTGCGCGTGCGCACACACACACACCCCCCCCTCCTGCCTGCCTGGTCCCAGCTCACATGCACGGCCACCAACCTGGAGCAGACTTCCCTGCTACTGGGAGCCCAGCCCTCCAGGAGAGCTCCCCACACCTGCTCCCCTCCAGCACCCCGGCCCCATCCTCACTGCTGCTTCATCACAGCACGTTTTACTTCTCAGAGGAAGTGGAGGCAACCGGAGGAAATCACCCTCATCCCTCACCACTTCTGCCCCTAACAGTACCCACAC